CAGTGATGAGCGAGGTGCCAAATGGCGGTGAAGCAAACACGGAGAACCCGTTAAGTGCAACGAACGGTGCAACACTGGCGACGAATGGCGACACACCAGCGGATAGTGAAAATGCTGATGTGCTGGACGAGAGGACGGTAAACGCTCCGGCTAAACTTATTTGATAGACGGACCTGTGGTTTGTAACGCTCGCCACGCGGACGTTGCGCGGGACCTTAGTTGACCTTGCTATCCAACAAGTAAGGTTCGGACGCATAGAGACTATCGGATGCCGCCTTGGGGGTTCCTAGTAACGCAGTGCGCGACGACGCAGATAAAAACTTCATTCGAAGCAGTAGACGATGTTGTGAGGGGCGCCGGGATCCTAGCAGCACCTGTACACATTAAAAACTGCAACATCGCTTGTAAAGGCAGTTTGGGGCGAGTGCCAGTTCTGTGCAGTACGCGCAACATAGCGGCGCGCAGGCTAGGATCGGCCTTCTCGAATTGCCCCTTCCTCTGCCTGCTGCTTCCGGCCAGTTCGTCGGGGTCACTCTCATGGTCAACAAATGGGACGTATATTTTTCCATGTGCACCATGTCTGAAGGGGATGCACGTGGCACTGCGGAGCATTTGTCTTCGGAAATGCTCTTTGCTGCTCAGCTGCATCACTCTTCAGTAGTCGCATTTACATGGGCAGAACCCAGAGGGGGGAGGAGGGGGAGCAGAGGGTCTTTCGTCTCCCCAGCGGCCCAAACAATGGTGCTGCAAAAGCCCGGGTCTAGAGCTAAAATTAAAGTAAGCCAAAAGTAACTCTAAATAGCAGTGTTGTAACTCTCTTTCTAGTTTTTGCCCCCCTCACTTCCCCCGGGAATCCGCTCTGGGCCGATGCGCATTTGAGCCCTTATGGCTGTGGCGATTTAGTGGGTGAGAAACCGTATGTCTGTGTGACGCTGATCGTGAAAGGCTTTTTCTGTTAAAATTATTTCATATGGCAACGTCCCTGGATGGTCGGAGCGGACCGATGGATCATTCGCTTCTTCACCCGCGCCAGCAGCGTGCATATCAATTTAATAGTAGTAGCGGTTCTTTTACGGAATATGGCGAAGAAAAATAATCATATTTGCAGCATCGGACTGAAGAGATCAACGTGGATCTGTCGAAGGACAACAGCTTGCTCGTTGACATATCGGATGCGCTTTCAGAAAGAGATAAGGTGAGCTCATTTATTGTTTTTGCTGTAAAATATGATTTTATCGGTGGCCTAATTTGTTCGATTTGAGGCCGACGAGTTTGGAAACAGAGAGGGGGGAGGGGTAAAAGCAACAACGAGAGCAATTAGGACAGCTTGAATTTACGAACTGCGAGTAAATGTAGTATTTGCCAGCAAAATGCTTATTTCCTATTTCATTCTGCCACTGGCAATGCACAGTGTGAAAAAGAAAGTACAAGGGAGAATGGTTTCAGCTGAGCAGTGTGGGCATCGGCCAAGATGTATAGTGCTGCTATGAAATGAATACTTCGGCTGGAAATGCTTGAAATTATTTGTAGTTAGATGGTTTTTCTTGCTCGCCACATTCTGGATATATATGGACGTTACTGAAGTGCCATCACTTTGTATTAGTTTAGGTAAAATATACAGTTCATACGAGGACGACGTTGCCGGAGTTTGCAAAGGCTGAAGTGAGCGTTGTTCGAGAGCATGAAGAATTCATCTGGCTACATAACTGCTTGTCGGAAAACGAAGCTTATGCGGGCTTCATCGTTCGTTTCCCACTAAATTCTAAAAAATCGATGTTCGTTTTTAAATCGTTTGCGCAGCCCTCACTTCGTTGCAGAGAAAACAGCTCGCTTAAAATCTCGTTAAATTAAAATTCCTTGAAAATTTTTTTCTTTTGCATAAGCGTCTGTACTCTTGAGGATGCACTTGCGTATGTGAATCGGACTCTCTGTATGTTTGTATATTGTTTATTCAACAAACGGTTGTGAGAATCATCCTGCGTTTCGTTCCGTTGCTACTTTTTTGTGCGTCTTGTGCTGTGTAACAGCAGTACAAAACGCATATTGCCACGGGGTTGTCTGTGTGTGTGTGTGT